AATTGACTGAAAAAAACTTTAATATACAGATACACAAATTAACGATAATACAAGACATGGATATGCAGATATACAAATTGACTGCCACAAACCTCAATATAAATATAAACATGTGAATTAACAGACACGGACTTTAAAATGTAGATACATGTATAAATGTAATTGATGATAATACAGACGTGAATATAAAGATATACAAATTGACTTAGACAAACTTTGATGTATACCAAGTGACGATAACGCATACATTGATATATAGATATACATATTGACAAACAAAGACTTCAATATATCAAAATATAAATTGACAGACGAATTCTTTAATTCATAGATAAATAGACAAATAAATTGACAGATAAAGGCTTTAATATATAGACATACATATTGACACAGACGTTAATATACGAATTTGACAGACACCGGCTTTAATATATAGAGATAAATAAATTGACAATAAGACAGAAACATATACATGCTATTGGAAATAACATAGACATTTATATATTTTTAACGATAAGTGTGAATTATTTGATGCACTTTTTGTAAAATAACATTAGTTTTTTTTCAATTAAGGTTAATTATTGTTTTATGAACTATTTTTATTCATAAACATTTAACAAAATGGTCCGGTTTTATTTTTTGTTCAGTTTAAATCTGCTTTTAGTTTATATTTATATGTATAAATATTTGAAAATATACCAAATATATCGATGCAGTTTAAACATGTAGAGGTAATTTATATTTAACATATAATGACACATATTGGCACAATAATGTGTTAAACAAATGCACATGGCAATATAAAGGATATAAATTGACAAGGGTGAAAAGGAATTATATGGATATATTTATCTCATAAAGCAGTACATATTTTAAACTAAAATGCTCGGTTCTTGGTAACGTTACATTGGACATAAATAGGCCTAATTGCAGAATGTCATGTTCATTATTGAAGAATAAAGAATTAAATATCATTTCACCATGTCAAGATTCTTTACAGATAATTTGTTCATTTTTGACTTTCAGTCTTATTCAAACCATCCCTTTTTATGTCTTCCTTTTCATATTTAGCTCTTATTTACCCCTCAAACATATAATTTAAAAGTGTACAACTAGAGTTTTTTTTTGTAACTGTGACATGTATGTATAGTCAAGCTGTCAGAATATGTGTAGCTTTGTTGCTAGTTTCTGTCTATTTGATTCAAATAAAATATTTCGACATTTCAATTGAATTCACCTGTGGAACAATACGGTATTTAACTTTATTCAACCAACCGTTCATAATGGCGGTCAATTTGAGAAAGCAATTTTCATTTGAAGGTATTGGGTGGGTGTGGCATCCACGCGTAGAAGCATCCAAGCATGGCAGTGATTTGGAAAAGAATGGCATATCGTAGATTTTTATTGAAGTGTCGATCAATCGTTTTAAAATGATATTTGAAAGCCGGCGTAGCGAAGTGTTCAATTGATCTTTTTGCTCGTCGAGGCGACATCAGCTATTCGTGATGCCGGGAAGTTGTAACGAGGATTCTGCCGAACCATCGGAAGCATTTTTGTGGGTTTCGGATCCAATGGATGGAGATCCTTTACCAGAAGACAATTTAAGTTATTCCACAATATTTGACTTGTGTTCTACTTTGAATGACAATATTACGCCGTTAAAATCACGGCATCCAAATATATGTGAATCTAAAACCCAGAAACAAATATCCAAAAGTTGCCCGAAAAAGGTTTCGCGACAAAGACGGAAGGTGAACATTAAAACTGTGGATCAAGAGGAGCTCCGTCGCAGGCGACTAGCAGCAAACTGTAGAGAACGACGACGTATGGAGAGTTTGAATGTTGCGTTTGATAAACTTCGTGCAGTGGTACCGCAAGGTGGAGACGACACACCACTTTCAAAGTACGAGACACTACAAATGGCACAAACGTATATCCAGGCATTGAAGGATATTCTAGTTGACAAATCTGACTGAAATTTGGTAACGATATTTAATACCCTGAGTGTGAAAATATGATGAAATAATGCAAGATATCCATGGTGAGATAGAGGCAAATGTTTGGAGATGTTAATCTGGAATGATCCATGCAGAACTGCTGTGTAAAAACTATCTTAAAACGGATCGAGTGTATAATCAAAACTAATGTGTAAACCGTCGAAAGTTAATCCGAAAAGATAAAATATTGGTAAACTAGCGAATTACATTTACTGAGATATTGGTAACCTGCGGTATTATATGAACTGGAATTTTGGTAATCTGCAGAATTTCATTAACTGAAATATTGGTTACCTGCAGTAAACAATTAAATAAAATATCGCGTGAAATAGTGTTTAACCCGAAATTTACTTTATAAACTGACGTGTAAGTGGAACGATGATAAACTATGTGAACAATGTAAACTAACAATATCGTTGGACTTGTCATTTCGTAAACGCACTAACTGCGTTAACTAACTGGTGTGTAAACGTAATAGTGTAAACTTACTAGTGTAAACTTATTGGTGTGTAAACGTAACTGTAATGTATTACAGACTGAAAATTGAACGAATCAAGCTGTTCTGCTATAACTAACTTCATTTCCTAAATTTTAGGATATATTTTAGGATATTTAAGGTATTTCCTCAAGTAACAGTGCCAAAATTGTTTATTATTCATTTCACATGATATTTTTTTTGTAATTTTATTTTTTGAATGAATAATATTTTGTATATAAAATGTTTTTTCTTCTTTAATCAACACTAGATATGCCCTATTCATTCTGCAAAGACTACATGCATATAGCCTAGGGGAGCTATTGAAAATCTGATCAATCGTTGGATGAAGCCGACCTGATCACACTGATGACAATGTACTTTCATTGGATCAGACTCTTGATTCTACCAAATATTGTGCAGAATCGGGTTTGCTTTATACCTATTTTAGCGCGAGTTAAATTCTTTAAATTGCCAGTTGTCTCCAGCCATTCCTTCATGCTGCAATATATCCATAGAAGATGGCAGACACGAACATACGATGGAAGGCACAGAGTTGATGCGGACACGATTCACTTCGTCTATTTACCGTACACCACACCGGACATAGTTCCGACGTGTTTGTATTAATTTCGGCTTTATTACGAGTATTATCAATACTTCTGTAATAAATGGCTGACATGTAATATAAGGAATATAACTTGTAAGCATTTTTATACTGTGGGGTATAAAATTAATTAACCATATATTTATTATTGCTCTGTCTTTGAAATTCACCACAGATATCTAATGTATATATGTGTAAGTCGTACTTAAAAGTATAACGACCTGTTGTGAATATAAAAAAAAGTTTGCAGTACAATAGATTATTCATAAAAACTTGTCGTAAAAAAATTACAGGAAAACATTAAGTATAAAAAAATGAGTTGAAATTTATAATGATTGAACAATTACTCATTGTTAGACTGTCATAGTTCAATTTAATATTAGTTTGCCTTCATCAATGAAATAAATGCTGTATTGGATGACAAAAAATAGCCAATAAAAAAGGAAATGTTTAAATTATTATGAATTGTTTCTTTGTAATTTCTCTTTTCCCATGATCAAACTGGTGGAACCAGATCAATTAGAATTGTAAAATATCTATTTTTCTAATACTGAAGACCATCGTTTTGAATTGATGGAGACTGATTGAGAGAGATAATGGCGGTGGGATTGAAAGATAATGTCAAGTGAATAGGATAGAGTTTTAAAACAGCGTGAAATGATATTTAATAATTGTATATTGTAAAGAGTGGTTTATTGTCCCATCTTATATCGTTAATCAATCGTATTCACATCTGCACTAAAGCCCCACTCACAAACAACGATTCTTCTATTCATCCGCCTACTCAAATCCCCAGCACTTCAAATACTATTCAGGTGTACAAGCGTAGAGAAAATCAATGGGAAAAGGGTTGGCATGTTGACTTTACAGACAGATTATCGTGCGTGTAATACGGGCGGATACGAAATTGCACAGCAGGTTTTGGACGACAGTTTTAGGCCTTTTCCACTTTAGAAGTGTTTCCCTGCGTTGCAAAATATTCCGAAGCGTTCTGGTACGTTAAATCGATCGGTTTTTGTCTTTATAGTAATGTTTAATTTATAAAAAAACATTTTAAAACGCAGAATATCAAAAACGCAGAATGCAAAGCTAGATCCTCATATTACAATTCTACCGAAAAGTTACATGCCTTGGTAATTGCTCATTTCAAAGAAAGTCCTGCTTAAAAATTCGTGTTTCTAAACTAAACAAAATACAGCTTGTAGATAGAGTTGCATTTCAAGTCACAAAGTTTAACTGGCACGGGACAAATCCGAGCGGCAAAGGCCAGCACAGGTATCCGCCTTCAAAGGCGTACGACATGCCGTGATCGACTTCATCAACGTGGAGAAATAAAGCTTAACATGATTATGTTAAAATTTGTATATAGGTGGACATAATGAAATTTCAATCCCAATACAGATTTTATCACTCTTAAAGGCTATCAGTTTTCACCAATTATTACTTCTATACGAATTTTGAAACCTTTTATTGCCTATCTAACAAATTAAACTGCAAATCTGAAAGGGAGATATGCCACAGATATATAACTGATAATAGATACAAGTGTCGTATGATTGAAATCAGCGTCAGTACATACTCCATTACAATATTTATAATGTATGTAACTCAGAACAAAATTTCATGTCGACTCAGTGTGGTTTTTGCTATTTTCCTTCAATATCTCACATTGTTAAATTCACTTTTATTTCAGATGGTCCAGCATGTTTCAGTAAATTGATAGCCTACTAAATTGCGATCAAATTTGAAAAGTGTATCGGTTTAAGTGACATAATTCAGGTATATCGATGTTTTTAAAATGGTGGTACACCAAGCATTTTTTGTTTGCGATCATTGTAGAGCGATGAAGAAATATTAAAACGATCTTAAGAGTTATTTCTACTTGTATGATAATTATGCCAGAGAGATGTACTTTACCAATGCGTCATATTAAAAAATCTATTTTCTTAAATTCTTGTGCACTACTGTAAACGTTCGAATATGCAATATATAAGAAGGTAATCTGTCTGCAAGAGCTAGGGCATATCTACTGTTGTACAATATAGAGTAAATTGTTGAATAATTCACCATCAATTCGAAATAAATTTTTAATTTTCTTAATACAAAAAGTCACAAAAGAGAAATATTTGTGTACATTTAAGAGCAGTTATAAAGAAAATATGTTTGAAGATTTTTGAAAAATTTATCTAAAAAAAAGAAATACTTAAAATATGTCTTCCCATGATCATCAAAGGCAATGAAAACTGAAATTGTATTTATTAACAATATCAAATAAGAGAAACTTGTCTATAGGAAATGTTATATGTTTATCTAAAAGACTGATCTATGTTCAAATTACTTATCAGATACAAGCAGATAGGAGCCGAGGGGCGACACCGCTGTTTGTACGACTTGCTCAAAAGAGGCGCTTCACTTGAACATTCGTCTTATGTATTTAGCGCTATATCATGTGGAACGACCCCATACAAACCGAACAAAGCCTTCATAACATCTTCAAAAGTTTCGTTTTTATCAATGACAATGAAACGCTAAATACTACAAATAGGTTTTTAATATGTTTTAACCTTTAAACTATATTCCGAGCATAACTGTCATTTCAATGAATAAAAGTTAAGTTAATATATATTTCTTTTTTTTCAACCAGATTGTTACCCGATATGGAAGTTATAAAGAAAAAATATATCATTAATTCAAAAAGATGTGTTTCTTTATATCTCATTATTTGTTGTTGATGAAACGGAGGGAAATAAACCGTTTCTGATTCATTTTCTTTGAGTCTCGAGATTTTCCCACACTTTAGGTGTTGCTTGATGGATGAAGGTGAATATTTGATTTGAATAAGAAAAAATGTTTACTGTTATAAACTATAAATCTTTAATTATATTAAATTACTCTCTTTGATGTCATTTTGTGTGAGTATGTGAAGTTACATCTGTGAGAAATAAATGCTGATTTGCTATTTTAAAGATTTATCATAGTAAAACTTGAAATAATTTTGTATGCAAAAACTTTACGATATGGAAGCATAACCAGTTACCAGTTATTTTCATTATTTTATTTTATTAACTTAGAAATTTTCGTATTACGTAAGTCAAATTTCTCATTCCACTCCCCGGCTTGGCGAACAATAGCCACAAAGAATCCCCCTACAGTAAGATATTGCGTTGTTAGCTTCAAAGATCAAATCGAGTAAAATGTTACGATCTTAGTCGTCTGTATACGCTATAAATGAGAGAGGCTAAAGAAGGTCTCCTTGGCCCCACACATGCTGAGATTCAAATTAATAAAATGACGTTTAATTAAAAAGAATTTGGAAGAATTGCCAACTCTGTACTTTCTTTTACTTTCCGGTTTATCAAAATTTTTATGTTACACTTCCCGTAATACTCCCCCCCCCAACCCCCATCCTACCTTCAAAAAAAGAAAAAAAGAAAAAAAGGAAGAAAACAAAATACAATATATATATATATATATATATATATATATATATAGACTGCAGTATATGTATTGAAATCAAATATATTTTTGGGCCCTATATAAGAGAATATAATGGCAACATAATTACCACACTCACAGGTGGCTAAAATGTTGGTAATTATTTCTGATAATTACAGGCATGTAACCGATAAAAGCTTGATATATGCCTCATTTTATCATAGATTGAGATAGATTAGGTTATTTTCGCTATCGAAGTCAATCTGGATATAAATATGATTGCTATTGAAAAAACCTATTAAATTTAGGTATACTCTTCTATTGACATCACAGATTATAGCAGAAATTTTACAGGTCGATCCAGATGATGACGATTTTCAAGCACCTGTGTGTTATCAATAGTTAGATACGACTCGGTGGTTAAATGTTTTTATATACGCAAGCTGTAGTAATGACATTAAG